AGGAAAAGAGTAACATATGTGTTTTTTTTTTTATAAATATAACATGTTTTTTTCCTAGGTGGCAAAAATGGTTTTTTTTTTCCTACCTAAAAATGAGTTATGATGATGACATTGACGACTTATAAAGCAAGTATAAATTAAAGTTTATTTTATATACTTTTATATTCAACACATAAATCATGTATGAATTAATATATAAATATATATTTAAATTTTACCCCTAAGAAAAGAGTTCAGACAAACACAGCTGGTGTGGCTCGAGTTCAGACAAACACAACTGGTTACGCCCCAATGATGGAGCCACATACACTTGAGGGGGCATATGTACCCTCTTGACTTAGAAGAAATTATAAATAAATAGTATAGATTTTACTATTTTATCCTTGCTAATCACAAAAATTTTGAACACCTTAAAATCTAGACATTTTTTTTTTGTGAATATTTTAACTTAAGCCTAGTTTTGAATCCACTAAATCCAAAACTCTAATATGATTTTTTTAAAAAAAAATATACTTATTATTTAATTTTTTTAAATTTATGGGTAATTATTATATATTTTTATATATAAATAATATTATAAATTAGTGACTTGTATGGAAGGAAATATTTTTAATAGTATTTTTTGGGACAATTATAGAATATATGATTATTTTTTAAAAAATATTAAATAATTATGTTTGAATTGTTATTTTTAAAATTAATCTGCACCTCTTATAAATGATCTTAACTTCGCCACTAGTACGCGCACAAACATATTAATACCCGTTCGAATCTGAGACTTTTTTTTTTTTAAAAAAAGAAAATAAGATGACGTTGCTAGCTATATATGAATAAATAAGACAGTTTGCAACACTGGGACCCGTTTAATATGTGGGTGTCTATGTATGTATGTATATAATTATGTATGTGCATATGTAAGTATATAAATTATTATGTATGTATATCAACATATGATGCCTCTCTTCTCTTTCCTACCCTAACGCCTACTTCCTTGTTTGTTTTTTTCTTCCAGATTTTGCACCTTCTTTTTCATCGTCACTGAACAAATTAAAAGGGGTTTAACTGTAATAATTACTTAATTGAAATTAAAATAAAATTTAATTATATCTGGAAAGCTAAATATTAAAATAAAACTGAAAGTAAAAATAGTAAAAATATTAGGTGGGAAATTCAAAATTGACACTAAAATAGTAAATTAGTAAAACTAAAAGACAGAAGTAAAAATAAAACAAATAAAATAACGAAAGTGAGTTGGAAAACCCAGAAACAAATTTTTGCAATATAAATTATAAAATATTAAAGACAAATTTAAATATATTGGCAAAAAGCTTAAATAATCAATAAATTAAGAGGCTCTAAATTAATTTTTGATCAGCAAGAACTGAAGAGGCGAATTAACGTAAAAAGGAAGGAAAAGAGGAATTAAAACACGTAGGTTAGACTATTTTAAAATAAAAAACAAGTCGTGGAAAATGTTTTGTGACACACATATAGCTCTCATATGTGTGTGTGTATATATATATATTATTGAAACCAGACGACAAGAAAGTATTTAAAGTCCCTATCGAATCAGATTCTTCATCTTCAATGGTTTATATTATAATGAAAAGACATACCAAAAAGTAAGAATAAAAAATGTGTAGTTATAAGGGGCCAGATCAGAAACACCAACCTCTTGCATTGGTAGGAAGTCACTAATAAGATAGATTGATTGACCTTTCTTGTACACCATATTATATAGCCATTGAATAAATGATTAGAACTTTCTATATATGATTCAGCACTTGAACAATCATCATGAAATGAAGAATATTCAAAGAGTGATTGATTGAGTTTTCTCATGTTTTGATGAGCATGAAAAGTGCTTCATAAATCAAACTAGAGTAGTAGCATTGAATCCAAAAAAAAAAGTTATACTTTATTTAACTTTAGTGTGAACATCTCTTCTTCTTCCACGTAGGTTCTATTGTGGGACGTTTTCACATTGCAGCACAGTAATTAATATGATTGAGACATGTTCACATGTTTGTTTAAGGAAAAAAAAAAAGACATGTTCACATGGAATCTAATTCTTTGGAAAATATGATGCTTTTAATCTGTCTTACTGACCAAAAAATAGAAGAACAAAAAGTCTCTATGTCATTATTAATATTAAGGACAAAGAATGTCATACCAGCGCCCATGGCCTAATGGATAAGGCGCTTGACTTCTAATCAAGCGATTGTGGGTTCGAGTCCCACTGGGCGTGCTTCTCTCCATTTTTAGAACTCTTTTTCAGTTTCTCTGAAGAACCCAGCCCATTACGTGTTACCACATGTCATCGGATTCCGTTTGCGTTCGTCTAAAGTCTAAACCACTTGCTAAGAAGCATCATATATAGCAACGTTGCGGCACTGAATGAAACTCATGTATTTAATTTTCTATATTTATTTATACTTACGTCCAATCAAATTATGAAAAATAAATTTTAATATATTAATAAATTAATAATAAGAATTGATTATATAATATAATTTATAAAAGATTTACATATCTTGATTCAAGTGAAAAGAAGTACATTAAGTATATAAATTTTTTTTCTTAGTTATGTTCATATGTTTTTATACAATATGTACATATGTTTTTTCCTTTTATTTAAAAACAAATTAATATAACAGGCTCTTAATAACACACACATAATTCTAAACAGCACTGAACATCCCAAGAATATAATTTAAGCGCGCGCGCACATATACATGGAGCTGCTTTTTTAAATCAAAAGTTAGAGAGCTGGAATAATTAACCAATTATATCATGAAGGCTTTTTAATGCTGGCAAAAAACAAAAAGACATATAAGGCCTGTTTGAAAACATATTTTGAAAACAGTTTTTTGTTCTTTACAATAAGAGAATAAAAAAATTTATTTGGTAATGTACTTTCAAAAAGTATTTTGAAAAAAAAATAAAATATTATTTTAAAAAATAGAAAAATAGAAATAACTTTTAAGTGTTTTGGGATTATTATTATGGAGAATAAGGGAGAATGAAAAAAATACCTAGTTTTATTATTTTTTATTCTCAAAACATAATTTATAAAACACCAGTTCTCAAAATAATAAAATAAAATAATTTTAAATAGCCTCATAATGCCAACACTACACGCACATCTCCTTGGGTTTTATTATGAAGCATCTTTTAAAAAGATATTTTTTTTGTTCTTAACATAAAATACTTGATGTGATATTAATTATATTTTTTTAATATTACTTTTATTTAAGTTTTATTAACTATGAGAGAAAATTATAATAAAGACTGGAAATAGTATATAATAGAGATAATGTATGTAGAGAATGTTAGTTAGAATATTTTTCAGACTTGGTTATACATATATTCTAGTTGTACAGTTAGTATAAGTTAGCCTGATACATAGTTTAGCTAGCTTAGTTGTTGCATTTTATTCTTTGGCTGTACCTGTATAGTTGTATTGTACATATATGGCTTGATACTTTTGGAATAGAGATAAAGACACAAGTCTCACTTTTGCCTCAATTGTGTTACAATATGATCAGAATTTATCCTTTTCCAATTTGGATGAATATTTAGTTTTTTTATCAAAAAAACAGACCATTTTATGAATCACAAAAAAAAGATTACACACACTAGTCACCGGAAAAAAATAGTTATTTTAATTTCTTTAATATATATATATATATATATATATCATTCATAAGAGGAACTCGAAAAAGTTAAGATTAATTTTTATTTAATTTTCAATGTTATGTGCATTGTATATTTTCATTATTTTAGCATGACAGGATTGGATGTGCACATTTGATTTCAAATCTACTTTTGTCCACGCATATAGAATATATAGAAAACCCACATGTTCTTTAAAAAAAGGAATAGTTATGTAATAATTATATACCCTTTTAACTATTATGTTTTTTTATGAGAAATATCTGTTTTTTATGAGAAATATCAATATGAATGTTAGTTATAACATATATAATGAAGCGAATTATTAATTGGAAGAAGACAAAGAATATAAACATTAAGCATGTGATTGACAGATTGAGCTGGAAAAAAACCAAGGATGCCAACTATGAATGTCTGTGTTTACCACACACAATATTTTAGATTCATCATAAAATCTAAACAATAATGGTACGGATCCTCCTCCATGTTCTGTGGAAGACTTTAAGAGAGGAAAATTTTTATTTGATTCTATTTTTTAAATAAAATTTTATTGCAAAGTAAAAGGATGAAAGTGGACAAAAATACATCCATACTAATTACCATACCCTTATATGATTAGAACTGAAAATTTTGGGATATCTTCATTACAAATAAAATCTTAATTTGATTTTCTCCACAATGTGTTTCAGGATCCTCAACAAATTTGAATTTTTTTTGCATTCTTTGTTGAGAAATCATGTTTAGCAAAATCAAAGGGAATAGGACAGTTGAAGACCTTGCAAAAACAGTTAATGAAAAATAAGGAATTTTGAATTGTAAATTTTTAGTAAAAGCCCAAAAGGTCCTCCATATTCTTGAAGGGTCCTTATTTGTCATTCTCACACCAAATCCAAAAGCAATAACTGAAACTAAAACGGGCTGAAAAGCTTGGGCCTTGATTCTGTTAAGAAGACATGGCTGTGTTTTACTAAAGCCTTACAAGACAGCTTTGAATAAAATAGAACGAAAATAAATTAAAAAAGTTTTAAATAAAAACAAAGTCATAATCAATATTATACACCTCATTTTTATGGTGTTAAAATAAACTTATACACACACATGATCTGTACGTGAGTATATATTATCCGTGTGACCACAGTATATATTATCCGTGTGACCACATTTTCAGGTGGCTCCAATCTTAATAATTAGAAGTAGAAAAGAGAATAAATAAATAAATGGTCTGAGAAACTGAATATCTAAAAAAGTCTCAGTCAACAGTCAAAAGTACAGTTAATAATAGCATAATCATCCTATCCTAATAATTAATAACAAAACCTGACCTAGTGGGAGATGAAACGCTAATAATGGCCTAAGCACAAATCATAATGACAACAAAAACGACCAGAATAGCCATAAAATCTAATCTGAGAACCACAGAAGATGAAACTCAGACTCAGAGCCAGAGTTAGTAGGAGAAGAAGATGGTGGGGAAGAAGAAGAAGAGGAAGAAGAAGAAGAAGAAGAAGAAGGTGAGGACCCCACTTGAGACCGTGGAGGGGCAGCAGCAGGGGAAACGGACGGCGGAGATGCAGGGACGGGATGTGGGGACATGACGTCGACGATCAATCTCTGGCCGTTGATGCAGTGATCATGAATGCCACTGATGAAGTAGAAGGGCCCAGCTCGGTCCAGATTGATTATACTGTTTCCATTGTCAAACGCTGTGATGGGGTCGCTCGCATCACAGTGATAGTAATCCCATTTCTCTACCGTCAGTACTGAGTCATTCTGGTACTCAAATGCTGCACGCACAACCAACCACGCACAACATTAACTACATCGCTAATTCTTGTGATTACATATGAAGTGTCATGTCTTGTCGAAGATTACAGACACTGTCACATGATAGATTATTATGAAGTGTCATGTCGAAGGAATGGGTGGTTTTACAAGACTCTCTCTCTCTCAGGCTCGGCCACGACATGCAATAAATGATAAAATGAACGTGAAGTACGGCATCGCTCAGTGGGGTGGCATCTGATAAATTCAGATGCAGAGTTTAAAGCTAAGAATAAATTCAAATGGAAAAAGCTAGAGAGAAGAACTAACCGAGAGAATCACCGATTTGGAATCTGTTTGTTTCAGCCCATTGAGTGTAAAAATCAGTGTTAAGAGGGTCAGGTTGGTGCCAGCCCAAGTCGTCACCAACCTGGAATTGCCTTGCAGTAGTGGAGGAGGCAGCCATGAAAATGAGCAAAAGAGCAGAGAACACTCCAGAACGAGATGACGCCATGTCTCTGTTGTGTTCTCTTTTTCACTAATAAGGACAAGAAATGAAAGCAAATGGTATAGGAATGTGTGTACGTTTGTGTATATATATACATGAATGCGCACAGACGTTAACATTATACACAACACAAGGACGTGGCTTTTGAGGTTGAACGTGGAAAAGGGTGTGGCGATTAATGGCATCGTGGGGGCTTATATTGTTTTCTCATGTCGTTTTGTTGTCATCTCTCTGTGATTTCATGTTGGCCACAGTTAAATTTTCTTCTTTCGTTTTGGGGAAAATAATCAAATGTTGACTGATTTAGGTCCCAAAAAAAAAAAAACTCAGGGTAGTTATTTTTTAAAATATATCAGACATTTTCATGGATAATTGTCTCAACTAAAAGTTGCTTCAATTTCTCCGTTCAAAAAAATTTGATTAAAATCATTTTAAATATTCTAATACCTACTTAATGCAAGCATAAAAGATTGAGGTGCTCAAATACTATAAAACCAGCATTGATATACTCTCCACAAACTGAGATACCATTTTTACCTTTTTGTTGATGATTCCACAAATAAGAAAGTGGTGAAAAGATTTATAAAATCCATATTATTCACAAAGCATAAATAATGCATCTTATTATATAGAGCTTCCTTCAATGTACCAGTATTGCCAGAACCAAACTGGCCGGGGTACGTAACAGAGAGAAAAGTGAACCGGTGAAAACAAGTAAAACCAACCGAAAACTATTTTTTAAAATCTCAATAATTCAAAATTATATTATCTTTTGTTTTTATTTATTTTGTGATTGATTTTCTTTAGTGATACATGCGCACGCCTATGTGATGATTCATTGGTTTTTTCAATTAACAATAAAAGTTTGTGTGGTTTGATTAGACAGTTAACATAACATACTTGATTATTTTAATTATTTGTATAGGACATTAATAATATTAGCGCAATTAACTACAAATTTGACATGAATGATTTTAATATAATTAAATATAATTTGAAATATTTTTATTTTTATACACAATCTTTAAATTTTATTATTTTAATTGAAACCAGTCAAAGCACAGTCCAAGCATGATTTATTGGATCAATACTTTAAATATTTAATAACCGAGCGAGTTCTAACAACACTGCAGAGAACTATTTGGGCTATGAAGTTACACACTTGGAGAAAAGATGACTCCACAAAATGAATGAATATCAATGCACCAAACCAATCATAATTCGGTTGCAAGATGGTTTACATGGGACACAATAAACTGAACGATTCAATCATAAGCTCGAGAAAAAAAAAAAAAAAATCTCCCCATGGCCGTATAAACAAAACCTGATTTGTAACACCTCTCTCTATGACCATTAATATACATAACCTCAAGGTGTAGGTACTCTAACTGCTCCCTCAGATGAAATATTGCTTATGATCAGCTTTTGAGCTCTGCCACTTTGCTAGCAAAAGCAGGGAAAAAGAAAGAAAAGAAACTCCACCACTTTCCGTTACATTCATTTCCTTCCAGCTCAAAAAGTGTCAGCAGTATGGCCAAAAAAAGATATAGCAAAAGCTATTTCCCAGAGAATTGGTTGGTCGATGGCTAGAAACTCCTTGTGTTGGTACAGACAAAAGATCATTAAGCATGTTAATGATTGATTTACTTGACCCGAGTGCCTGTTTTACTCGTGGCTCGTCACGGCAGCTTCTTTCGACTCTTAAACAACTCCTGAGATTGTTGGAGCTTGGAAGCTCGAATGTCAAGTATGGTAGGAGGCATTGGTTTTATGGAGCCATGCATTTCTACTAGGTGAAAGAACTCTTGTTTTGTTATGCTTTTCTTCTCAACAAGTTCACTCACCACAGCTTCCATTAGAGTTCTATTTCGCTCCAAAATCTGCTAGGCAAAACAAGGGTCGTCATTTTTTTTAGTCAGGTTCATGGATAAATAGGTTCCTTGATCCCTTTTTTACACAATAGCATACCTCTTTTGCTTGTTCATAGCAAGAGTTGACAATCCGCATTGCTTCCAAATCAATTTCCTGGTAATTGAATTATATTAGAGAATCAGTTGGTTGGCCGACATATATCTTTCGAAAGGGAAAGAGACAACAGAGTTCTCTCTCTGCTTTTTCAAAGAAACGCGCAAGAATTCGTTCTTTCAATATTAAAGTTGAGGGTGCATTTTTAACTGAGGCAAAAACTGGAATTACTAATCACAATGTAAAAATTTTGTAAAGTTGAAACAGAGAATGCATACATTGATTCGATCTGCAACCCAGAAATTGGATATGCCATGATACTTATCAGAAAGCCCACCAAGAACAAACGTCCTTGCTGCTGACCTAGCATTGTCTGCTGTTTCAGCCCATATCGTGCTCAACTGAAATATTGCAAAGCATGTTAGAGATCAATGCCTATAATGAGATATGAAAAAACAAGGACTTCAGAGACCAAAACGACTAAATTGTTCACACAGGCAAAAAAGTAAATATATGCATGTCAGAAGAAAAAACTTCAGTTCAAGATACTCCCTCCGGCCTAAAATATAAGCAGTTTTTAGAAAAAATCTACATACCAATAAAATCTCCATTCTCATAAGAATATATATTGTTTTTCTTTTTTACCCTTAATCCCAATTACCAATACACTTTATGCATGATAAGTAAGAGATAAATTTACACAAGAATCTAAGTCAATAAATACAAGATGTAAAATAGGAGGAAAAAAATTTACATGTACCAAGTTGTTTATATTTTGAATCAAGATTAGTTGAAAGAAAATGCTTATATTTTGGAACAAGGGGAGTAAGCTACTAAAGGATGAAGGGTAAAGTACTCTCCCATCCCCCCAAAGAGAGGTCTAAAACACACAATCCTCTTCTTTATTATGAAAGAGAGACAAATGAGTTAAAATGACCAAAATACCCTCAAGAATATTAATTGATGAATTCTGTTAAATACATAACTAGTTAAAAAATACATTTGTAAGACTTTTATTTAAATGTATTTACCATTACCTGTTATTAGTCCACAAGTCAAGTCAAGATATACAAAAGGTGTGTATGGATGAAAAGTTACAAAATTGAAGTAGAGTAAATTGAAGTTTGCAAACTAAAGTTAGGATAAAAATTAATAATTATAACATGGTTTATATTTGAATGCCTTTTTCTTAAAAGTCAGTTTCGATACCAGCTGAAGCCAAAAGTTCATTTTATTCAGATTCAATTTTAATGGGCTTCTGGATTTTCCAATGAGCTTTTAAGATCCAAACTGAGGTTCAGGGTCCAAACCTCAGTTTGGATCTTATCCCAAACAAAACCAAAATCATAAATGCACGGTGATTAAAAGTTTTATAGCAGATAAAATATTATTTTTTAATCTGCGAGCTCTTTCTAGCATAAATTAGTTGAAAGAAAGTGAGACTGTAACATTACCTGACCATTCCCGTACCAAATTTCATCAGCTGCCCGTGGTGCTAGTTGAACAGTGATATGATCAAGGAGAGATTGTCGGCTGCATAATATTATATTATTACAAGAGACACAACGATACCATTAAGGATTTTTGTAATGCAAACCTAACCAGCGTTAAATTGACGAGAAATAAATTATACAAACAACACAGAGCCCTGCAAACATTACTGTTGACTGTTCCCAGTAATAAAGAGACAGATGCTTTATTTGGAAAGCATCAGCCAAAGCAAAATATATTCATAACAAAAGGGAGCTAAGGGTACAAGAAAAAACACATACGTAAGCATTCCTTCCCTAAATTTGACTGAATCCATCTTCATTCGAACATAACCCAGCTCCCTACCAGCCCTAGGAGCAATTGTGACCTACATGAAGGCAAAAGTATGATGAGAGGCACATCGTTTACCAGGAATATAAACATAGGGAATGGGAGAAAATAAAGAAATAATCATTTACATGTGGCAGAGGCCATGACAACTTGAGTTCCAAAAGCATAAAGAAACAAATACCATACTTCCAGGTTAAATTTCCAGAATCACAACAATGGGTATCTAGTGTAAATTGTGGAAACATACAGATACCACAATAAACAAAAGGACAACATTGAGTTCTTGTATGCCAGTCTTTAGATACAGGTAGGGTTAATTATGAGAACAAAGCTGTCAGCATTTTGGGCCATGCATTCTTTATTGCATCACATTTATGTTGTCACAATAGCAATTTCAGATGTTGTCCAACAGTGGCACATCTATCATCTATCACTCAATAGCAAATGACATGGCAGAAAGAAAGTGCTGCAGAAGTGGAATGAAGAAGCGCAGAAGAGCAATTATTATATGGAAAGAGGCCATTCATTCCTTTGTCTGTCAGCACGATGTATTCCCTATTGCCCTCAAAATTTGTTATTTACAATAATAAATGATTTGTATTCTAACATCCGATGCTCATAGAAATAATCAGCTGACAAAATGATGATTATGCTTATCATCATGCATTATGAATTCACGAATGATATCATTCTCTAAGGACCTCTACAAGTGATGCAGAATACAATTTTAACTAAATTCCCCATTTTAGGTATGAGAAAATGCATAACCAAAAATAATGAAATAAATAGCGTGATGACCATACAAATTCAACATTTTTAAGATCAGGAAAGTTCACAGCCACAACAGCCATGGCAGCTTCATTTATCGCTATTTGTTTCCAAGCCTCCAAGCTTCTCTCCTTTCTATCAAGCATTCCTCTTTCTTCCATTTGTGCAGCTTGTAATAAGTCATCAGTTGTAATCTACAAAAGTATAAAGTAGAAATGTCACCATGTCTGCATAACTTGGAAATCTGTCGTTCACTTCCTCCTTGACCTCTTTCCCCCACTTTTTGTGCATGCGTGTAATTTTTATGCCTCCATGGTAAGTGGCTTCTTCGGGAGGAGAAATAGAAACTTCTGGCATCCACTACCTTCCATTAAGGCAAAGAAAAAGGAAAAAGCTAAGACAAACTTACCTCGGTCCTTCCATCTCGCATCATATTGATGGCAGCAACCTCAACTATGTTGGCTAACTCTGCACCAACCA